CTTCTTCGGAACACAAATTAAGATATTTCTGATGAAATCCGAGAGCTTTCTGACCCTCCATAGACAGCAAGGGTCTTAACACGATCAAGGCCCAGAAACATAGTAAGAACATCGTTAAAATGGTCCATGTGATATCAGTAGTTCAACCGTAACAAAGCTACGAGAATACTTTAGGTGTGCAAACAAAACAAAAATAACGACTTTATAACAATTCTTCTCCCCCAAGTTACCATCTACCGCTATTATTGCGTGTAACACGACGCATGCCTGTGATGCTGCTGATGTAAAACACGCATGCGCTGCGCCTTGTTTACGAGCAGAGGAAAGCACGCATGTGTGTTGTGGTCATCGCAATAAAGGCGGAAGCGGTAACTCGCAGGAGAAGAATTGTTGTTATTTTTGGATTTTTTGCACACAAAAAGTATTATCATAGCTTCATAAAATTACTGTTGAACCACTGATGTCACGTGGACTATTTTGTCAAAAAAAGTTAATTATATAAGATTTCTATAACAAATTAATCAATTAGGTGGAAAAAAGGGACAGTCTGTGCATTGAAGTGATGTCCTGGTGGATGCTGAGGTAGACTAAACTGCTTACTGCTTCATTGCTGAATGGTGAAACAACTGAAAGAAGTTAACATTAACAGCAATACTGCACTGAAGCTTGACTGAATTCAGTATTCGCTCAAGCTTCTCTAGCTCTTAGAGAAGTTTTTTTTTTTTTTTTTTTTTTTTTAGAATAGAATTAGAATAGAGAGTGCTAGAGTTAGAGGGTCAAGTAAAGATGGAAGAAATGTGTTTTTAGCCAATTCTTGAAGAGAATGGCTGCTCGGATTGAGTTCCCATCAGGAGGGAACAGTTAATGTAAATGTCTGTGAAAGTGAATTTGTGCCTCTTTGGGATGAACAATAATGTGCCGTTCACTTGCAATACTCCAGGAACATCCTAGTAATTGCATAGCAATGCATTTGAAATCACTTAGAGCATAATAGTATTTTAAAGCCTAGTTTGACAAAGCTAGCACCCCTCAGATATTGTTCGGAAAATTTGCAACAACAAAAAAAAATTATAATTTTATTATTTAAATTTTTTTACTTATTATTTTTTTAATCGTATTATTTTTACTATTAATAATTAATTGTCGATCATTTATGTATTCATAAATGATCAAGGATGTGTGCAAGGATCTCTACAGTGCTTTGTGCTGCGAGACGAAGTGGATGAACTTGACAATCACCTTTCTGGATTTGGCGTTCGCTTGTACGGTGGCTCTAAATTGTCAAAACACCTCTCAAAATGCTTGCTACGGATGCGAAAAATGCAGAAAATCGAACCCAATCTGAATTTTTTTATGATGGACGAAAGTTTCGGAGGCAGTGTGTAAACGTGATTGACACAGTGTGAGGTCATATTTATTTTTTAACGTACGTGACTCAGTGTGCAGTGGCCAAAGAGTCTTTTTACCCTGGTAAAATCACTGTAACTCATTACTTTGAATGGCTTATTGCTCTAATGTCATAATATGTGTGTTTGTGTGTTTTCGACAGACTGATGACGATAACTACATGATGGAGAAACCCCTGGGTTACCTGCCTCTTCATCACGAGCTGGACAGCGGGCTCGGCTGGACGGACGGTAGCTTCCACCAGGGGGAGCTGTCGGGGGTGGAGACGGAGGAGGGGCTTGAGGAGCGCCACGGCGGGTCGCCGTCGTCTGAGTCATTCATCTCGTCTGAACTGAGCGACTCGGGTTTTTACAGCGTCAGCACCGGCGAGTTCCTGCGCTTCCAGCGTCTGCTGGAGAAACGCATGCGCCATTACAACGCCCGCATGCACCACCAGGGGGAGCCGTGCTCGCGCGAGCGGCACGACAGCCAGATAAAACACCCCCTAGAGGCCATCCCAGAAACGCTGACGGTGCAGCCTCAAAACGTCTGCACGCCCATCCAGGGATCACGCGGTTTGTCGCGCGTTTCGTCCGTGCAGTACCGCAAGGCGGAGCGTCCATGTTTGAACAGGCACAGCTCCAGCAGCGGCTCGCTGTTCAATCCCGCGCCTCATCCGAGTTCTGCGGGAATGCTGAGAAGAAGCAGGACGCTGCATCACCGCCCCGCGCCAATGGAGTACCGCAGACGGGCGAGTCACCCGGCCTCACCCAACTATTGCAGGGCCACGCTGCATCCCTGCGTCCACAGAGTTGACCTGCCCATGAATCTCCCTGAGGAGCCGGACTTGGCACTTATGCACGCCATTGCACACCCTGTTGTACACCCCACTGCACTCCCTACACAGACTCTACACGCAATGAGTCAACCGTCCCTGATCTCTCCAGTTGACGAACACTGCTGCACGCCTCTGGATCTTCACGCCAACGGCAGGATCCGAGCATCCACCGAACCGCAGCTCCAGAGGAGCTTTGTGACCCAACAGACGCCCAACAACAGGTTCCACACTCTAAGTCACACTCCCAGTCAGGACAACGAAACTTGGCCGAAACCCGCCAACCGCGCGGGATCCGTTGGTGGACTCTACAGCACCTTGGAGGGCCACACGCCCACTAGGAAACCACCCGGCGGGAATTTGCGCGCTTTGCGAAACCAGATGCTGCGGGATCGAGCGTCAAGGTTGGCGGACGAACGTAGCGGCATGAGCACGGACGAAGAGAGTCACAGCGAGGTTCGCATGGGTCGCTACTGGAGCCGCACCGAGCGCCGCGAACACATGCTGCAGAAACAGCGACAGGCCAGAAACAATGGCGGCTGCGGCATAGCTGCGTCAGGATTGGTGCATAGCGGCGGAGTCGTGGGAGGAGCTAACAGAGAGAGTTGTAGTACCGTTCTGGAGCTGAGCCAGAGGAAACTAAGTCACCTGAGGAACCGGAAGCTGCTGGACGATTGGACCACCGTAGACGAACTCCTGACGCACGGAACGCGCCTGGGCCCCAGTGGAGACACCCGGCAGCTGCCTACGTCATTGCTCACCGTCACAACTGTATAGCGACACCCACCGAGCGAGTGTTCAGATTGACTTGTGTGTGTGTGTGTGTGTGTGTTGGACCAGCCGCACTACACAAAGCTACCTCCTGACATTGAGGTTTACTGTAGATACAGACGTTTCCGAACACCGTAGTACATTGATTTTTAAATGTTATATTTGCAGTATCTTGTTTTGCATTGTGTTGTGAAGAGATGTTTTATTAGGGAGCGAATTCACTGCAGTTTGATTCAACCGCATGAAGCAATACAACAGATTACAGATTACAGAACAATACAACCGACGCCAGACAAAACGAATTTCATTTGGTGCCAAGAAAAGTTTACGTTACGGATCATTTTTAAGGTGGTGCTAACCGTGAGATTTCATTTCTTCGACTTGATTTGCAACTAGACTATAAACGACATCCGAATTATGTCACTTTTGCACAAAATTTAAAGAGTTCCCTTTCCAACTGTCTTCCGCTAGCTAATTTGTGGCGTTGGCACAGCCTCTCCTCCTTTCAATCATGAATCTGATTCTCTGGGAATAATATCGGATAATCTAACGACGGATCGGGAGTCGGATACGGCACCAGGGCCGGAGATTGGGTGTGCAGGTTTATGCCGGAGATCGGGGAGCGGAAACGTGAGCTCGTGTTGTGAAGTGTGTGGGTTCTTGCACTATAACTGTAGTATTTTTAAAGCTATTTTTCTTGTGCTCTTCACAATTGATGTCACGGAAAGAAACAAAGAACTTTTATAATGACTCGAATAAGAATTATAAGTGGTGTTAACAGAAGTACAACAATTTGGAGAGAAAGACGATCGACGCACTGAACTGTGTTTTCAGATATTTTCAGCGCACCTTTCCGCAAACAACAAGGTTTCAACTTTACAAGCCTCATGAAATGCATGCAGAATGAGTTGATAAGCTAAGTTAGACAATGAATGATGTACGCAAATTCGTTCTGATCGCGTTTCATGAACGAGACCTAATTATTTTCCAAAGTAGAAGCAGACGTATTTTTGGAGTCACCCGTGTCAGCGTGGGATGTTTCCGGATGTTTTTTTTTCTTCTTCTTTGAGCAGAAAATCAGGATTTTTCCCACCTGCACTATTTTTGGTGGAGTTTTTACAATTTTTCCTCACAACTGTGACTCTCTGCGGCTCTCTCGCGCTCGTTTCTGAGGTAAAATCACGTCATTTCCGCCGTGAGTCAAACGCTGTGAATAATGGATGTGAACGGATGGAACATTAACAGAAAAACTCTGCTCGTTTCCACTTTTAGAAATAATTTTCTTGGAATATGATGTACATGTGGTTGTAATAAAGATGAGATTTTAATTAGCTACTTAAAGAGTGTTGAGGTTTTTTGGGTAACGTTATTGAAGTGGGCGTTCCGAAGTTAAATATGTAACGACAACAAACGGTCTCTGAACGGAGCGCGTGAATTCCTGCGCTTAGTTTTCCCACACTTTGACCAACGGATTTCCTACCGTTCATGAGTATTACATCATTTTATAGAGACTGCACGTTCAACGAGCAGATACAGCATCTATGAATTCGTACTACAACGATTTTAAATTCTGACATCGGGTAGTTTTCCTCAAGATTTGACAAATAGCCGTAGTTACGTTACTGTTATTTCCAAATTTCATGAATGATTTCAGTCACATAAGAGAGAGAGAGCGAGAAAAAAATCATGTAAGCCACGACAAGTCAAAATTACGACTTTAGTAATTACGACTTTAAACGACCGAAATGACAAAAAGTCGAAATTATGACACAAAGCCATTAATTTAAATGTCGAGATTGACATACTAACTCGAAATGACTTTAAATGTCGAATATATGACATACTATGAGGCAAATAGTCGAAATTATGGCTTTAAGTCTACATTAAATACTAAATTATATCCTGCTGAAAAAAAACTAGACACACCACAAAATTTGTAATGGGTTTACTGGTTATAATGGGACTTGTATTGGTTTTAATGGAAACTGTAATGGACCCTGCGGTAATTGGTCACCTTCTATTGGTGGCTTGTTAAAACCAATAAATCCTAATGAAATATGTCCCAAAACACACTACAGAAAACCATTTTTAATGGTTTTAATGGTTAAAAGGTGATGGTTTGTGATCGTATTTGTAGTGGAAACCATTAGAATTTGGTGTAAACATTTGAAATTGTGACATGAAAAGTCAAAATGACTTTTACATACTTTTATATCATAATTAGGCCTATTAGGTAAAAAAAAAGAAAAAAAGGCAAACCTGACTGACTTTTTAAAATATCTGAATTATGACTTACTAAAGCATTATCTTCATTCTTTCAAACTATTTTGAGACCATTACAAATACCATGTGAGTAACGGTGATGTTTTGAGCCTCAAACCAGAGAGAATCTGAACTAAGAAAGTGTAGTGTTTCTCAGGAGGTTCACTTACTTTCGTCTGATTTTCACTCTTGAGATGTTTGTGGTTAAAACACAGAAACACAAAATGGAATCCAACTGTAGAAAAGCACAAAATGGAACTGAATAACAGAAAAAGGTCTTTCTCCCGCGCTCTTTCATTCACGCTCTGCTTCCATCTGCTGGATGGAAACTGTCAGTGCAGGAAACAAAATGGCGGCTGCTCGCTAGAAAAACACTCCTGAGTGGGTGGATTTATTCCAGATGTTCTTCATAACCCTGAAAACATTGTACCAAAACACATTTTACAAATAGTAGCCACTCTCAAAAAACAAACTGGTTTAATATGTATAAAAACAAAACAACCAGTCTCAGAAATTATGGTCACCCCTCTGAGAGACTTTTTTCTTGTTTTTTTTTTTTTGGTGACAAAAAGTAACAAGTAACCACGTGACAGCGTTGTTTGCGTGTTTGTTTGAAAATGACGGGCTCCGAGACTGGGTTGGTAAAAATAGATCAAATACAAATGAATTTATCACTTTAAATCAAAGCCTGATTTGCTTTATTATCGTCAGTTAGCAGTCTTGCATTTGTGAAAACCATTCGCTTGATGTTGTGCTAGATGAGAAACTCATTGAACGCTGACAGTTGTCCATATAAATGTTCAAATGAGCGACTGTAAGCTTTCACGGAGTTTCTCTTCCTCTTGTCTCTAGATTTGCTGCTCTTTACACGAAACGTACAGTCGTGCAACATTAAATTGCTATATGTGTTACACTAATCATTGATCCAGACGAATGTGGAGTGATTGGAGATGGAAAACACATCAGAGACAGATCTAGAGCCGTTAAAGCTGAAATCTTTAAAAACCGACAAGACGTTTGTAATACCGCACAGAGAACGGGTGAGACATAACGTTACTGGCTTATAAACTTTTTGTTATATACAAAACAAGAGATACATAAGCATTTATTGCGGTGTTTCTGCATGATGTGTGTAGTTAGGGAAATGCAGGAGTGTGAAGGAGTTTGAGAAGATGAACCGGATTGGAGAGAGAACTTATGGAATCGTGTGTGAGTCTCACAGAATGATTGATAATGGTCAGATATATCACATATTAATTCAAATATCATGTATCATTATATCCGTAATCTGTCGTCCATAAATAGCATTATTATCAAACAGTTGTGCTGCCTGACAACTCTGCTGAAAAAAAAACTTTAGACACCATCACAAAATTTGTAATGGGTTTACTGGTTATAATGGGACTTGTATTGGTTTTAATGGAAACTGTAATGGACCCTGCGGTAATTGGTCACCTTCTATTGGTGGCTTGTTAAAACCAATAAATCCTAATGAAATATGTCCCAAAACACACTACAGAAAACCATTTTTAATGGTTTTAATGGTTAAAAGGTGATGGTTTGTGATCGTATTTGTAGTGGAAACCATTAGAATTTGGTGTAAACATTTGAAATTGTGACATGAAAAGTCAAAATGACTTTTACATACTTTTATATCATAATTAGGCCTATTAGGTAAAAAAAAAGAAAAAAAGGCAAACCTGACTGACTTTTTAAAATATCTGAATTATGACTTACTAAAGCATTATCTTCATTCTTTCAAACTATTTTGAGACCATTACAAATACCATGTGAGTAACGGTGATGTTTTGAGCCTCAAACCAGAGAGAATCTGAACTAAGAAAGTGTAGTGTTTCTCAGGAGGTTCACTTACTTTCGTCTGATTTTCACTCTTGAGATGTTTGTGGTTAAAACACAGAAACACAAAATGGAATCCAACTGTAGAAAAGCACAAAATGGAACTGAATAACAGAAAAAGGTCTTTCTCCCGCGCTCTTTCATTCACGCTCTGCTTCCATCTGCTGGATGGAAACTGTCAGTGCAGGAAACAAAATGGCGGCTGCTCGCTAGAAAAACACTCCTGAGTGGGTGGATTTATTCCAGATGTTCTTCATAACCCTGAAAACATTGTACCAAAACACATTTTACAAATAGTAGCCACTCTCAAAAAACAAACTGGTTTAATATGTATAAAAACAAAACAACCAGTCTCAGAAAAAAAGAAACAAACACAAAACAAATAAAAGACACGTGACTGAGTATACGACCCAACTAGTGCTTATACACAGAGACAGATCCATCTACTCTAAACAAAAAATACATGATTCCCTCTTCCTATCACTCTCTCTATGCGAGGAAACTGATCGGACGGGCTTCAAACTGTGGCGTCGTTGAGCTGTAATGTCCTTCTGTAATAATACAACACGAATACAGTCCATAGAGTCCATAAAAAAAGAGCGACGTCGTTCATCCACACAGACAGGGGGCACCAGAGGCCTTCAACTTCAGTCCAAACCCTGAACCTCGTGCTGCTTGTACACCGCCGAGACCAGATTTCCTGAAAGAACAGCATTCGTGTGGTTAAATTCAACTAACTAATATGTCAAATGAATATATTCGTGAATAAAAATCGTTAAATCCTTCAGGTCAACGTAAAGGCCCAAAGAGCGAAGCGACAAAGCAATGCAAATCTGCACCAAAGCTAATTTCGATCCAATTTATGGCATAAATCGGCATATAATCGCAAGCGAATCATCATTCGCATGCTTTAATGCAAGATACGAACAATATGAAAACCACAGCTGGGAATCGCACGACTAAGCTAAAATTATTAACTAATAAAAATAATTTTCGTTAATTAAAATAAAGCTAAAATATAAATGAAATATTAGATGAAAGACTTAGAACTTAAATTAAAAATGGTGGTGAAATAAAATAAGTATCTATTAGTAAAATTACGAAAACGAAAAGCTAAATAGGAAAAATAAAATAAAATTACGAAAGCACAGAAAAAACAAACAAACCTGAAAGTATTTAAATATAATATAATTTAAATTAGGGTTGCGCGATATGGCCAAAAAAATTATCACGATAACACAAAATAAAATATTATGTTAAACCATAAAAAATTAACATTTAAATAAAATTAATAATAATTAAAATAAAAATAAAAATTACATTAATGTAACAATTAAAGTGAAAACAAAAAATATTTTATTAATGTATAAAAATATTATTTTAAATAAAATTATTAAAATTAAACTTTAAAAAATCTAAATACATCATAAGAAAATACTATAAAGTAATATTAAAATAACACCGCTGCACAGTCGAATTCACAAACAAATGACTCTTTTGAACTGATTCTTTTAATGACTCGGTCAAAAAGACTCATGAATCATGCCGCTTTTATAAACATACGATTCGCTCATCTTGATTCATATTTGAATCTGAATCTTTTAACGATTTGCATTCAAAACTAATTTTAGTGGTAATAAACGCAACGTTTAAAACTGAAACGTCACCAGGAACGGTCTTTGCTTTTGTTTAGTATCTTGACTGAATTATTAGGCCGGTTTTAGTGCGCGAGTTTGGCTGCAGGGCATCATGGGAATGATCGGGGAGGACTGCAGACCTGAAGCATTCGCTCGCACATCGAGGAGGTCAGAGCAGGAAGGACAGGAAGGCTAGCAGGAAGCAGCCAATCACAGCGGAGCTCAAGCCGCAGCGGACCCACAGGGGTCAAAGGTCGTCTTACCTGGCGTCCCCAGCCCCTCTGCTCTGTCCCGGCAGACTTTGGGTCTGAACGGAGAGTCTTTGTCTTTACCTTTCGATCCCTTGGGCCGCCCCGCCGCCTTCTTCTTGGACTTACTGTCGCCCTTCACACCCAGCAGCGGATGGACCTCTGCGAGACACGAACACAGGCGTCAGAGGAAGTGACATCATAAAAAATATACATTTAAATAAAATTATGTATTAGCATTAAACTATAAAAAAATCTAAATACATCAGAATAAATGAAATAACTGCTGCACAGTCCATTCTTTTAAGGACTCAGTCAAAAAGACTCATGAATCATGCCGCGTTTGAATCATGATTATATATAAACTAGTGCGGTCTATCGATTAACTACAAAAATAACTAATTAATCGCGATTAATCCCACTTAATGTTGGATACTATAAAAGTATATAAACAATAATAAAATAACACTGCTGCACAGTCCAATTCACAAACGAATGACTCTTTTGAACTGATTCTTTTAATGACTCTGTCAAAAAGACTCATGAATCATGCCGCGTTTGAATCATGATTGTATATAAACTAGTGCGGTCTATCGATTAACTAAAAAAATAACTAATTAATCGCACATTTTTTCTGAAATTAATCGCGATTAATCCCACCTAACGTTAAAGTTTATTAGCATTAAACTATAAAAAATATAAATACATCATAAATAAATACTATAAAAGTATATAAACAATAATAAAATAACACTGCTGCACAGTCCAATTCACAAACAAATGACTCTTTTGAACTGATTCTTTTAAGGACTCATGAATCATGGCTAAAAAAATATTTTTTTTCTGAAATTAATCGCGATTAATCCCACCCAACGTTAAAGTTTTTCAATATAATTTTACACTGCAATAATTTCACTTTCAATCTTCAAATAGATGTAGAAACAACAAAGTATATTTTTATTAGTTTAATACCATCTTTTTTATGACTGAAGGTCAAGTCTCAATGATTTTTTTCCTAATATTTAACCATTGACTACAGCATTTCAACATTACAGCATAATTGAAAGCTATCAATTTTAACATTTATTAGACTTTAAAAAATAACTTCTAATTTAAGTGAACTTAAAACCATCTTCACATAAACTGTGCCCTTCAGCAAGTAGAAAATATAATTGAATAAAGTTATCAAACACTAAATTCTAAATTAAACAGAGATAAATTAAAGCTTAAAGCTACATAAGTTACCGATTTCCTTTTTTTATTTTGATCTTTGATTAACAGACATCACAGCAGCTGGTAATTAGGATATTTTGGCTGCTGTTACTTTAAGAGCTGCCGCTGCTGAACATGACGCGGATCTGACACGGTTTTAAACGTGACTCATAAATAACAAATACTTACATGCACCGTTTTAAGGCAGATTTAATCGCCTTTTTGTAACTTCATGACTTGTCACGTACAGCCCAACGGATTCCCTACATGACCAGCTGGAGAGTGTTGCGTCTACTGTGTGTCATCCTGCTGATTGTGTTATGGTTCGCAATAGCCTGGACCGCCGCTGTTTGTCAGAATCCAAACAGACATCTCGCGCTCATCAATGTGGGCCTCACCACTGATCGGCTACAGTTCAGCATGTGTCTGCTGGACCGCTGGGACTACATGATTGCTGTGGGTGAGTGAACATGTTACCTAGGAGCTTTTTGTATGAGTTTTTGGCATTTTAATGAGCACAGGCTGTAATAAATTACTGTTGGAATCAAACAGTCTGGATGAAATTCTTCCAAATATGGACACTTATTTAATTAAACAAAGTACAGAGAATCTCATCAAGGCACTGTTTAAAGGAATAATTGACACAAAAATGGAACTTATGGGTCATTCACTCACCTTCCTGTCATTCTAAACCCATATGACTTTATTTCCTCAGTGGAACACAAAAAGCAGTATTTAGCAGAATGTTCCCACTGCTCTTTTCCATATAATGAAAGTGAATGTATATTAGGGCTGTCAAGCCCCAAAAATTGCAAGAAGGCACCATAAATGTAGTCCAAAAAATGAATGTAATATATTCCATTTTTTCTGCAGCCACTTTTTACTTTTTCACTTTTTCTATGAACGACTCACTTCTTATTAAAAATTGCACAACCCTTGTGAAAAAGAAGTTCGCTTAAGTGTATTGAATGTGCACTTTCAGTGTACTTCAAATCTTAAATGTACATTTAAAAATGTGCTTGCAGATAATATGAATTATGAAATAAAAGACCAATAAAGTGTACTTAAAAAGGGTACACTTTTATTGTACTTTGAAGAAGTGTGTTATTCAATATTACATTTAAAGTTAATATATTTGAAATGAACAAAATTATTACTTCATTACAAATGTGTAATTACAAATATATTTAAATACATGACATACATCCACACCTGTATTTAAGTGTTAACATGTAGTGCTGTCAATCGA